CTTAACACTGTTTGACTCTATTTCCTTTCATCTCTAAAAGCTAACTCATAACTTCGAATTGAACAATCTCATCCTTCGAGTCAATTGTTTAATGAAATACTAAAAGAACCAACATGTCTTTTCTCCATGATCGCTGATCATGCTTCCTTACAAGTAGCTCCATTACGCCATTACTGGCAGTTGAGCTTCCCTCTTGTACTTGGATTTGAATATGAGTAACCGTTGAAGACACGTCATCTTGCATCCCGTTATTTGATCTAGTGTTACTCAGATCATGTGAGGACCAATATTTGTTGCCACGTGTACGATCAGGATTAAAGGCTTGAATAACCTCCCTTTATTACCCTTACTCTGCCACGTGTCGAACTGTAACTGGCTTTTACAAAATATGTAGCCAACAATTTCACCCTCATTTTTCCTTTCCCTTTCCAAATCCCTACCAAAAGCCATGATCCAAACTCAACCTTAATGGTTCGGGACTATTAGCTATGGTGGACCTTGTAGCTCAAAATGGCCATGATTGTCTATATGGTTGTCATCGCCAGCAGAACAGAGGCAGAGACAACTGAGATGGATGACCATGGATTGCTAAAATATGTGCGCCTCAGAGTTGCCCAGTTGCTGCTATAGTAGGCCTCCACTTCTCTAAATTTCTTAGAGAGGTAACACCCCCTAATGTTGAAAACAACTTTCTCTGCCAATTTCCTGAAAAGATGAGCAACTTGTAGATCATTGTAGGGGAAATTTGTGATAATTCCATCGTCACAAAGGAATGTAACATCTCTGCCCGAGCTGATGAGACAACTCATGAAGGCAATGTATTCAAAAAAGTACGTAGAGGAACCTTGTGGGCTGCATTGTTCCAAGGCAACACAGTTGATAAGGATGGTGCTGGTGAAATCATTGATGGTTGTTGGTGGGATTTTTAGCACCCCTTTGTCGAAATTTATGTCCAAGAAGCTACCATTAATATTTTTTTGTGGCCTAAACTTGATCCCAGCAAGCCGGAGCCGTGTCACACATGGCATTGACTGATCGGACAATGGGTGATACTCTTGTGAACCATGTGATGACGTGCAGAGGTTGATTAAATTCGGTGATATTCTTATTTGGATGTTGCTGGAGTTGCGGGATGAGATTGAGAAGGGGAGGTAGCTTGACTGAAACAAGTCAAGTAGATGATTCTTGGCTAGGTCATGGAATTTTATGTTCTTTAGTAATTCAAGGGACCTTGGCAGGGCAAGATTAAAGAACTTTAAGGCTTGCAAACTTAAGAGGTCACTGGTATCGCCAATGGAGAGATTGAATAACCTCTCAAGAACGAAGAAGGGAAGTTGGTTTTCAAGCTTCAGGAGGTCTCTAATGAGAATCGGAATTAACCATGTCTTTCTGAACAATAGGCTGTTGGCATTTACAGAGTCTTCACTCTCAGAAACTTGTTGGAAGAGCTCAATGATAAAGCAACCATCAAGCACCATCATCTCAATGAATTGCTCACTTGATATCTCAATGGGCTCTGAGTACCATGTTCTTGCCTCTCTCTCTAATTCTTTCATGGCCTGCCTTAGGTGCACAGCATGTGATTGATTTGTTCGGGAAAGCAAGGAATGAAGAAACTGCCATTTGTAACTTTCAAATTCTAAGACCCCATCTTTGCTGTGGTGATAAGGGCCTATCGACACAATTTCTGGCTCATTGTCCCTAGGACTGCCGATTTCTATGAGGCTTTGAGGGACTTTGCATATGAAAGCATTTTGTCTTTCTCTTAAGTTTTGGATTCCTTCTCTTTTAATTTCATTCAAGCGCCTCTGCATGTGAATGATAGATTCAACGTTAGTGGATTCTTCTATTTCATTGGTAGAGCGAACTGGCAATTCTTGGTTGCTATCTGATTCCGCTATTGTAATGGCTTGATGCTCTCCATTCTCCATTTGTTTGTTTGTTTTTTTGTTTTTTATTTCACATATGCATGCTGAAGGTGGAGTGAGACCTTTCTCATGTTCATTGCTCAGATAGAAAGCTTGTTAAATAAAAGGTGTTTTCTTGGGGTGGTTGTCACCTCGCCAGCTTTTACTATGAAACTGAAGTGAAGGTTTCAAGGCAAAGAAAGAATACAACAAAAATCTCTTCATTTTCTGGAAATTTTCCAGAAATTAATTTTTATTTTTTTATATTTTTAGAAGCATCCCAGAAATTACTTGAGATTAGGTTTCAATAACTGACGTCAAATATATAAATATTTTTTTGGGTGCAAGGTCCTTGAAGTGGACTTACCCACCAGTTATTCACTAGGAAACTGAGGGCAAACGTTTCAGAGCAAAGTAAAAGTGGTGTTTGACAATAATAGAAGACTGAACTCCTTTAGTTCAAAATTTGGGCCAGCTATGTCTAACTTGAGTTCAACCTTCAACAGGCTTTTCTTATTGGTAGATCATAAATCTAATCTGATCTTCTTGACTCCAAAGCTATATCAAAGAATTTAAATGAGGACCAATACTGTTTGGCCCAAACCCCAATGGTTATGATTTTTTTAATGGATTGGATTGCATGAAACTATTAGTTTTAGGGTTAATAGATCTGGCATAGTTGTTGTGTAATACCCTTTTCGGATTCAACTCCTGTGGACAAGATTTGAGGTGGTGTTTATTTCTCTCCCATTATAGGGTTTGTATGTAAATAGTAGTGAAGTGAGTGTTAGGCTAGGGTTTGTATGTAAATAGTAGTGAAGTGAGTGTTAGGCTTGTGTTTGGGCTTAATAGATTTGGTAATTGGATTTTAGGTAGGTTTTTATTGACTTTCTATATATTGTGTGAGTTAGTAGCGTGTTTAAAAAATAAAGAAAGATTAATAGCTAACTAGAAGTGTAATATATAGTTTGAGGAAATCATTAGAAAATTAAACATATGCATGTAGTGAATCTGGATAGAAAAACTTGTTCGCTGGACATACAGCTTATTCAACCAAGTTCGACATTTTTTGCTAGAAGAAAATGACCCGGCCCATGCTCCATGTTAGGGGTGGGCGCGGGTCGGTTGCGGCCACGGAACCTCCAATCCGCCATCCGTCCGCCAGATTGGCGGATTGAAGAAAATCAATCCGCATTCGTCCGCCAATCCGGCGGATGTGGATTGAGCGGATTGGCGGTTTGGCGGATGGATGCGAATCGGTTTGGCGGTTTAAAATTATATAAATTTTCAACATAATTCAACTTGTGCACTTCCTCAAACAAAAAAAAAGAAAAAAAAAGAAAAAGAAAGTAGTACAGTCAATGACTTAAAAAAGTATTACAATCACTGTATGCCTTATCCAAAGAAAAAAAGTTTAAACTTTAGAATATCACGATCACTGCATGTCTCATCCATATATTACAATCACAGCATGATTCATCCCCATAAAGTATTACAATCTGTGATTCTTAAAATATAATAACAATTCAAACCATCAAAACCATAAACAGAGCAGTAGTAGAGATTGAATGCCTCTGTATTGTTACATCTACATATGTTTTTAAAAACAAAAACCAACCAGCATATATCATATTTTCTAATTATTACTTTTAGAATTAGATTTAAAAACTAAAAAATATAGATGAATAATACGTTTATATGTTTTATAAGATTCTAAAAATTCTTTTTTACTTAATTGTTGCTTGTTGTTCTATACCTTAGAATATAGTATTAATTACTGCTCGAAGTTCTCACACCGAGTGATCAGGGTTTTATATCCGCAAAGATGAAATGTGCGAGTACCATAAATTCACCGCTTTTCAATTCTTTTTTATGATATTCTGTGTTCCATGTTCCGCCGTAAACTTGTACTCTAATCTTTCAGACCTATTTTCATGCTCAAATAGCTGTATTAACAATTCAGTAATAGGTTGTCGAGAATATATTTCGAACGCGTGAGATTATGTATCTGAAGTATTTGTTATAGAGTATTAGTTTGACTGCTTCCGTGAGTGTACATACTTCTCACCTAGGATCACTTGCTGAATGGACCACTGAAGTGGAGTATACGTCCGTATGTGTGAGTTTCAGTGATATCATGTTGTGTGTCTTAGACAAACTTGCCGGTCAGGCGTGAATCAGATAGTAGAGATACTTCACCACCCGGCATTTCATCAGTCTTTATACACTCCACTGGTGCGTGGACCCTTCTTCGATATAATTTTTGTTGTACTCTATGATTTAGAGTTTTCGATAATTTAGACATTATATTTATTAAGTGAGAAGAACACCAACTCGATAGTGCTGTCCACAACTGGCGCGCTAATAACAGTCAACTCTACAATCCACAACGGACAGGCAGTTTATTTGAGGCACAAGACGCGGAGATATCCGTGCAAGCCGGGCTTTTTTCTTTGAATTAATAAGGCGACACAAGAGCATATATCTCTTAGTCGACACTCTTATCAAGTTCGACTGCCACCCGCCAAGTACAGGTTGTCATTTCTCTCAAAACCGCACCGACACCTCACGAACACCTACCACGGTGTGGCACACCCACTAAGCCCCTAAGCCAGCAACTGGATCGTATCCACGCCACTGGCTGGTATCATGCACTCCGTGATGTGAAATTATTTGTCTCTCTCTTCTCACAAAGTGCCGTGGTTCCTAATGTCAAGAATCTATTGGCATAAGGGGATGAAACGCAGCGGTGCGATCCAACCCTATCTTACGCACTCTTCTCCTGCACCGTGGCAGATAACTCGTACATAAAACCCGACCGAGTACCGAACGCGATCCCCCGGCATTTTGAGACCGGTATGCACATGATTACGACTGAGTCTGGACGGCGGTCATTGGCGGATTAAAGATTGTTTGACTTACCAAATCTCGCCCGAATTTAGTGACGGACACGGGCATATAAGTGCGGATTCTTGACCCAATTCTAGTTTGCATGGACTCAAACATAGCCACAGTATACCAGCCAAACCGCCAAATCGCGAAGCACCCCGCAGGTTTAATTATTATAAACCCTATGATATAATCTTGTCAATTTGTTTAACATATTAAGCTGTTGTTTTTATCAAGTTGATTTAAAAAGAATTCTACATATTCTGTTGAAATAAAAAAGAGTAATTACTCCAAACTAGAATATGAATTTCTTTCTTGTATTGAGACAGTGGAAAAGATAATATATGTCTGTATTAAAATAGTTCATAATATATTTTTAGTTTTAAATCGGTTATATCACTAATAATAATAATAATATTACGTATACATATGATGGACTAATATGCTGGTCCGTTCGATGATATTTTGCTGAATACTTCAAATAACATATGTGATGGTAAGCAATTCACACTGCCGAGACATTACAAATGTCCATCTACTATACTATGTCGTTACTGTTATCATCGTGTTTGACTGGTTTTCATTTGTTATTAATTTAAGAATCAAGTTATTTTGTTGAGACCGTTCGTACTTATCATGGTGATTAACGATACCCAAGCTCCCGTGATTAGCATACATATACTGAACTGGATTTACGACTATCCGTCAGTGAATCGGGATGGCTAGATTTCTATATAGTTAAACTTTTCTCTTTGGAATAAGGCATACAGTGATTGTGAGCTAGCTTTTTTTAAGTGTCCATTGCACTGTCATATACTTGTCTTTTCTTTTTGCGTTTTTTTCCGTTTTTTTTTGGTTTTGACGAAGTGGCAACAAGTGAATTATGTTTGAAAATTTATACATAATCCTCTAAACCGCCCGAAACCGAAATTCCGCATCCATATACCGCGGACAAATCTCCCTGCCCATCTCCGGCCTCAAGTGCCCAAGCTATCCATGCTCCGAGAAAATTTAGCTGCTGACGAATGCGGAGCTGATTTTTTCTTTCAACCTAATCCGTTCCTTCAATGGCTGCCGGATACGATGGCCGGAGTTTGGAGGTCGTCCGCTGAGCCGTCCAACACCCTAGTGACGCCTGCGCCCTACCCCTAGACATAGGAAGCACTGAGCCTGGTCATTCTCTTCACAAGATGATCAGAACTATAGCCGGCTGGTATTATACTTCATGTTATGTCTCAGCGAACAAGTTTTTCTATGCGCGCGAGAGTTTCTACCTAGCATGCATATTTTAATTTTCTAATGATTTTCCTCAAATGTATATACCGATCAACACTTTCCTGCAACGTTAGCTTATATTTAACTCCTGGTTTCTTCCTGCATATTTTTGTACAACAGCGAGTCTACTAACTCACACAATTTATAGGAAGAGCGTTTCACTATCAACAAATCTTTACCCTAAAGATCCATTAACAAATGCGTATGTTTATATACGGTTCGACCCAAACACAAGCCTAACAG